GGAAACAACTAGACCAACAGTCGCCTGGAGATACTGAACAGTATACAAATATAACATGGTTTGAGGGTGGACAGTCGATATTCGCTCCCCGAGGTATTGGAAGTTGACAAACTAGTTCCCGAGGCGAAGCCGAGGGAACTAGTTTGTCAACTTCCAATACCGAATTAAGTTTGTCAACTTCCAATACCGAAATAAACCATGTTATATTTGTTTTACTATACCTCATACATATTCAGCGCCGATTTGTTTTTTTGTTTTTCGTTGCAGTATGCACCTCAATTTTTTTTTTTGAAAAACTTGTCCAGCTCACCAAAAGAATCGTATTGCTCAAATTCACTAGTTCAGTTTACAATACAGTGCAGCTGAAAATACAGTAGTTTGTGTATAACATTCTTTTGTACAGGATGTATCTCTTTTGTCCATAAATATTCACTTGTTCGGCATCATTGAGCTCGGGAAAATAACGCGCCGTGCAACCATCTCTTCGTTCGTGTGTAGCTCGTTTGGGTGATTTTCGCGCGTACGTACTACACCCGTGCGACAGTTCCACGATGCTTTGTAAAGCGCATGCGTATAGTAGACTGTCGCACGAGTAACCCGTGCGACAGTCTACTACGCATGCGTATTTACCCTGTGCGTGAATCCTCGCGCGCGCTTGGTAAACAGCAAAAATAACATCTGGCACGTGATGGTGAATTGACCATTGAGAGTTCGGCTCTCGATCATGAATATGTATGAGGTATAGTAATACGAGCTACCTGCTTTATCTAGAGCCGAGGACAACCGGACCTCTGGGTCTATACCAGGAGCAGACCATTAATTGTCTGTGATGAACTGGAAGGCAATATCCAGAATAATTTCAAGGGGAAAGCGTTTGGACGTGCCTAACTGAACCAAATGTTCAGGGAGTCCTGCCTCTGAGATTTCTGATACAATGCTACCAAATCCTGTATCGGGGCACTTTGCCCCCCCCCCCCCCCAAGTATCCCAGGCCAAAAAAGTGTCCCTCTCGCGGTCATAAATGTACCCCCTCGAGATGAAAACAAAACTGCCCCTCAAACGCACACATGAAAGCAGTATGATCGCGCTTAAAAATTGTCTCCTCTCTTGTATAAAATGCAAAAGTGCCCCTCAAAAACACAAATACCCCTCGCGCATTAACAAGATTGTAACCCCTCTAGAAGCAGCCAAAAAGAGGCTCAGAAAACCCTGGCTCACAAGTGACAATCAGTGAGTCAGTTAGTGGGTCAGGGGCACAGACGACTATAGGCTGGCCCTCTAGTAGCAGCCAAAAAGAGGCTCAGAAAAACTTGGTTCACAAGTGACAATCAGTGAGTCAGGGGCACAGACGACTACAGGCTGGCCCTCTAGTAGCTGCCAAAAAGAGGCTCAGAAAAACTTGGCTCACAAGTGACAATCAGTGAGTCAGGGGCACAGACGACTACAGGCTGGCCCTCTAGTAGCTGCCAAAAAGAGGCTCAGAAAAACTTGGCTCACAAGTGACAATCAGTGGGTCAGGGGCACAGACGACTACAGGCTGGCCCTCTAGTAGCTGCCAAAAAGAGGCTCAGAAAAACTTGGCTCACAAGTGACAATCAGTGGGTCAGGGGCACAGACGACTACAGGCTGGCCCTCTAGTACCTGCCAAAAAGAGGCTCAGAAAAACTTGGCTCACAAGTGACAATCAGTGAGTCAGGGGCACAGACGACTACAGGCTGGCCCTCTAGTAGCTGCCAAAAGGAGGCTCAGAAAAACTTGGCTCACAAGTGACAATCAGTGAGTCAGGGGCACAGACGACTACAGGCTGGCCCTCTAGTAGCTGCCAAAAGGAGGCTCAGAAAAACTTGGCTCACAAGTGACAATCAGTGAGTCAGGGGCACAGACGACTACAGGCTGGCCCTCTAGTAGCTGCCAAAAAGAGGCTCAGAAAAACTTGGCTCACAAGTGACAATCAGTGGGTCAGGGGCACAGACGACTACAGGCTGGCCCTCTAGTAGCTGCCAAAAGGAGGCTCAGAAAAACTTGGCTCACAAGTGACAATCAGTGAGTCAGGGGCACAGACGACTACAGGCTGGCCCTCTATAGGGCAAATAGTAATAAAAACATGGAAGTAAAACATGTATATAATTTAGCATTTTATCGTAAAACCTATGTGTGATATTAAAGCATTGTATTGCTTCCCGAGTCCTGCGGAACAATGCACATACATTCTTCTCCGGTGGGATTCCAACCCAAGATCCTTGCTTTATAGAGCACATTTCACAACAGACCAAGAGTACCCGGCGACAAGAGGCCAGTTCGAATCCTTGTAGCGTGCATCGCAAACGTTGGCATTTTGGCCGATAACTGCACAAAATACATGTGTTTGTTGAACGGGAAGGGCGCATTAGCCTGGATAGGTAAACAGCATACAGTCAATTTGTTTTAATTCCCTAATTCTGTTAATTTACGAAAAACTATTCTTAGCAAAGTGATGATATTTTAAAGCCAATTTTCTGTACGAGTTAACATTTTTATGAAACAAATGTCACGGTACGGATCTGATTAAAAAAGACAAACATAAGCACAGGTTTTAATTTCAATTAAAAGCATTCATAATTATGTGAGCCGTTTAAAATTTAAAGGAGACAACATTTTAGTGGGACGCAGTTATTCAATACTAGCGCGTGACATATCCGACGGTAAATTACACCTCTGACCGTCGACTTCCACTTGAAATATCTCATATTTCTTTAAACAAATGAAGAAATGCAATCAGTACAATGCTTGTTATTTCAATACGACGAAAACAGGGCATTAGGGGATGATTTTTTTTTATTTGCTTTTCGCTTTCGTTTTGATATGGGTTTTCCCGGTTGTTTTAACACTTGTATCACACGAATTCCCTATATCGATACTTTAATTTCGTCCCCGAACATCGCCCCAAGCTCAATTCTCAATTTGAATTTCAAAAAGCCACCACTAGATTTCATTTAAGGTTCAGTATAATTCAAATTTTTAGCATTCCGATTCGTCCAAAATCTTTAAAATTCGTCTCGTGAAGCAATCGGCGTTGAATTAACAAAGCAAATTCGTTTTTTGTCATTCGTTTTCATGTTGTTGTCATTACATTTCGTCCCTAATGACTTAAATCGTATACGATTAGAAAATGCGCCCAATATATAGACTTATTTGAAGAATTATGCGTATTAAAACAATGACAATTCAACATATATTTCCTTATATGCAGGATAAATAAAAGTAGTTAGCTGTAAGGTATGAATTGTAATTTCTGTGTTTCACAATTAACATTAGAGTCAGGAATTGACATTTCACAATATGCACTTATGACATGGACACTAAGCATTAAGTTCAAAACCTTCTTAATGTTGTTCTTTGACAGACATACCTTATTTCTTTTGTTTTATTCCAGTGGCGTAGCCAGGAATTTTTCAGTGGGGGGCGGTGGGGGGGGGGGGGGCGTCATGTAGATCAATGATAATTTTTTTAGAAACTCAAAATCTCAGTGGGGGGGGGGGGGCGACTGGGGGGCGACAAGGTTTCATTGGGGGGGGGGGGCTGTCACCCCCCACGGCCCCCCCCCCCCGCCCGTGGCTACGCCACTGTTTTATTCATAAACATATATCAAAGAGGAACATTACGAAGATGTTTGATCTTAATGCTTAATTTCCATATGCTAAGCAAAGAGCATATTGTGAAAGTTCAATTTCTGATTTTAACGTTAATTGTCCAAGAAAACTCAAAACTTACAGCTATACTTTCATTTATAAGGAAATATTTGTTAAAATTAAAATTTAAAGGGAATATACAACATTTGCAAAAATAGAAAAATAAAACTACCAAGTTTTTACGAAATACCTTACTAGGATGTTCGTAATGACAGTCTCAAGCATCTTGTAAAATTATGGCACCTGGTGTGAAGTCATTTTCAAGAAAATTGTATTTTTGTATACAATTTCCAACGGTGGTCGGCCGACCAGCGTTGGAAAAACCTAACTATTGTTCAACTACTGCTCCAAATTTACCATTTTGTTTGCTATTGGTTACATGTTCATGAACGGGTGCAGGCCAGCTAGGCTGGTTCCCTTGCCTTACAATTTTCCATCATCTATAAATTGATCCATTTTATCTTTTGTGGAGTCAGGGAACCAGACTACATAAACATTTTTGTTTTTCTTGGTTTTCCAACCTTTTCGAACACAAAACTTAAAAAAATGTCAGTGTAACAATATTCGATCTATTATACTAACCCCTCAAATAGTTCATTTTTCTGAAAATTACAGCAAAAGCCAATGATGTACATTCCCTTTAATTAATGCACAAACAAGTCCATAGGTTGGGCACATTTTTAATCGTAACGTTTTAGGTCACCAGAGACAAAATGTAACGACAAGAACAACGCCGATTGCTTCACGAGACGAATTTCAAAGATTTTGGACGAATCGGAACGCTAACAGTTTGAATTTAACCATGCAATGTCGGCTGAAGGTTGAACAAAAGAACATATATTTAGGCAAATAGTACTACATTGTAGTAATAAAAAACACGCTGCAAAATAACACATAACCGGTGGATAGATTGATATCTGTTGAGTGCCGTGGCCGGCCTCGTGGTCTGGAGCATTGAATTCGTAACAATTCAATGTTGCTGCTGAAGACGTCAGAATGACGTCAAGATAATCTCATTAGATTTCATTACGGCTTCAAGTGAAAACAAACTTACCACAACAACTACCATGATCGTATGAGTTACGGTATGACGGTACCGTACGTCCTTATTCACAGAAAAGACAGCCGAAACCGTATTGCCGTATCTGCTTTGTCCAGTTTTACGTCTCTGCTTATCGCGAAATGCTGTGCTTTACCACATAATATTCCGTTCGCAGATCAATAATGAATAGGGTTGGACATATAAATGAAATGTACCTGTGGGAGTCCCGATATGATATGACACCGCCGTTGTGTATGGCGTGTTTGTCGTCAGGGATTTTTCTCTATGACACCGCTATTGCGTGCGGAGGGACTTTCCGTCAATGAGAAATTATTTTGCGTAGAGTGGACGATGAGAAACCATGCTGAAATGGGACGGAATAGTGGCATTTTTGGCGATTAATGTTCCAGGAAGTGAGTATATATTAAGCAAGGATTATATAGATCCATATCAGACAATCTGGCAGCTTCCTTTGATCGTTGTACTAGTAGTGTAAGCTTTGCAGACACGTGATGTACAAAATGAAGCTTTCTGCGTACATGTACATGTGTTTAACCATGTGTAGTTCTATGTGTTTTTCACACTGCAGAATGTACAGTCACCACTCCATGTACATGAGACATCAATGAACATTTAGGCTTGACTGACCCTGGGGTAAGGTTTTTGTATATATTTATTATTATTCTGAAGACAACTTACACTGTGTTGATGTCTAGAACCCAGATATGATTACATGTATCACGCTTTGTGTATATTTATGTAGTAAATAGGTACTACTTATTTTTCGTTTCAGTGTTTGTGTTTGGTTTTCTATATGACCTAGCATCATAATAAACAATGTGAAATGACTGATGGGTGTCAGACTCCATATTCATCCATGTTTAAGTATATTGACGGACCCCAACCCTAGAATAACAATAGAGTAGACCACCACATTATCCACATACCAAACACGCCTATTCTGTATTTTTAGAAATAATTGCTTTTTTGTGTGGATCCGCCAGTCAAAGTTGCGGTAAATTTCAATGTGATTTTTATTGAGACTCCATATTTTGTTTTCTATTTGATTTATTTGACGTGTTAAAATTGTCCCTCTTACAGTTTCTTTGAATGACATGGCGACCAACGAGCAGTATGCCAAAATTATTGTGAAAGCCATATTGCTTGTTATGCAAGCTGTGGGAATATTCGTCAGGCCGAGTTCAAAGGTGTTTGGGCGCGCTGCTAAGGAAGCAGCTGACGCGCTCCGAGGATCCTCAAAATTGCGGAAAGCGATGAAAGTCTTTGTCATAGCCTGGAATGGAAGTGATAGTAACTTCTCGAAAACTAAAGCACTTGTCGACCTCATCAAAGACACTAACGCCGCAGGCATCCTCATGACCATCATCAAGAACATATGTAGCGAGATGTCTTGGTATGAGTGGCTTCTCGCAGCAGCTCAAGTTACCGCCATGATTACAGCTGTTCTTGCTACCGGCAGGGCTGTTCTGATAGCTGAGATTGCCCTCGTTGTCATGTTGGCTACGGACTTAGCAATGGACATTGCTAATCTTTGACGTAACTTTTCGTGACACTCGGTTTCCCTATTCATCTCAGCTTATACAAGATTGTCAAGAACACGCTTCTTTAGACAGGCCTGGTGGTCAATTATAGAACATCTGATGAAGAAATTGCGAGCGAGTCAGTTTTCTAAAGTTTTCGATGTCCGAAATTTGTGTCCGTGGTTGTAGTTGGCTAATTGAGATGTATACATTAATATGTGGGTTTTTTTTGCTTAACTTCTATAAAATCAAGAAAACAATAGATTTATGATCTTTAAACGAAAAGGAAGAAGACAATGTTAGCTGGAAACGATAAATTGCTCAGTAGCGCCGTAGCCTATGTATGTTTAAATGTGTTTTGTTAGTGAAATAAATTTATTCTGAGACTTAAATACAAATTTATGTGTCACGTTACATTTACCAAAATATTCTGATATTTGCGATGTATAAAAAAGAGGTAGATTTAAAAAAAAAAAAAAAAAAAAAAAAAAAACAAGTACAGTTTCACAGTACTTTAGTTTGCTTCGCCCGTCTAATTGTTTAGATTTTTTTACTACATACTGAAAATCGCTCAGTGTCTTACATTACATATTTGCTATATATTGAAAATAAGTAGTTTGTTATGCAATAATTTTGTAGATTAAGAGTCACTGTAGATTTAAACATTGGTTTTAAAGAATTTTAACTCGTTTTTTTTTTCATTATTGCAAACTTCATGAAATAAGAGCTATAGCATAAAACAAATTGCTACGTTTCATTGGTAATTGAAACATAAAGCTACAAAATCGATTTCGCTAAATTCATGGGTAGTTTTCCCATTGGGATTGTGTATGCAAAACGACAGTTATAAATGAACTTGTATTGGTTTAAATTGGTGATAATGTGTAGTTGAAAACCTTGCATGTTTAAATTACGTGTTGGTGGAGTTTCCGGCAATTGGTCAAAACTTTGCAACAACATGAACTACAAAAAGCCAACATTGTATTAAACTACTGCGAAGGATTAATTGCTAATGTATGTTTACTTTTATGCATTATGCAATTGGATGTGAAGTTTTGTCGTGACCTATCGAAAAAGGTTTATCTAAGGCCCAATCTTGACAGGACAAGTGAATCAAGGTTCCTTAAAAAACGAAATGTCGAAAATAAAATGGCTTTAAATGAAGACTTTAGTGTAACTTTACATCCCTTAGTTGATTATATCTACATTACCAGAGCCGGAGGCGAGGGTAATTATCAGCACCCAGACTCTAAGTGGTCTTAAACAGCGTGATAAATACCGACTGAGCACATATTTATTCCCATTCATAAATACCTTTTTGGTAAAAAATATCAAATAATTCGTTCAAAAAATACCGATTTGTTCAACAAGTTCACTTCATGTTTTTTTAAACATCCCTCTAGCAAAATAATGGAGTGTTCAGCTGGCGAGTAAGATGTAAACAGCCCTTTTATGGAGATTGACGCGCGCGTGGCATGTTCTGAGCGATGTTGCGCAGAACGCACCTGGCGCGTTGCGTTTTGAATTTAGAACTATACAATTCTGACTCGCTGGTAGTATTGCGCATGCCTACGTGAGGATTGTGAACGTTCAACCAATGAAACGGTAAGAGGCACTGGATTTTTAGGGGTCTACATTTTATTGCGACACTGGAAAAGTGTTTAAGACAGACCAGCTAGCCATGTCTTTATCATCCGTTTAAGACCGGCCACGTGACGGGCTCTCGACCAAAAGGAATGGCTAAACTGTATGAGGTATTTATGAATGTCATTTTAGACGAAAAGCAATATACAAATTGAACTAATATTTCATTTTCTTCCGTCTTTTCACACGTTACAGCAACTTACCGCTTACTCATTTCTGGCAAAACAAAGTTTGAAAAATGTCATGTTTGAGTATCTGTGTTTCTTTCCTTTACGCTCATAATTTGTTTTCTTTTACTAAAGCGAATTTTATTTTTTTCATCGGAAAAAGGGAAAACACAGGTTGTTTTATTTTAAACATTAGATATTGAATTGTTATCATTTGCATTTGTAAGTACTCAGAAACATAGATCACTGTGATGGACATGTGTACTTTTTTCGGTGATCAAGAAAGGGGGACTGAAATATATATACATATGTATATCAAGAATCCTTGGATGACTGGATTTTTTTTTGCAATGGGAAACATTTAAATGATTTGATAATACAGGGTGATTAAACAAAAAGCAAACCCAAACCCAAAGAAATATATTTCATTTACAAAAAATGTGTAGAACCAAAACTAATTATGATAAGTCAATTTAATAAACTACTTTGAGATGAACAATTTCAGAAATTAAGGGTCATTTCGTTTAAATGATGATATAATTGAACGGATTGAGCAATTTCAGTATTTTTTTCATCTAAAAGTAGTTCATTAAATTGACTTACCACTCATAATTATTTTTAGTGCTAAATATTTTTTTTAAATATGAAATACATTTCTTTCGGTTTGGGTTCCGTTTTTTTTACTCACCCTGTATAAATTAAATTTGGATCAATCAATTTATGTTCTGTCAATCGTCAATCGTCAATTACATGCTTTGTATTTAGAGAGAAGGCAATACTTTTAAAAGGTTATACTTTTAGATATACTCATTATATAATGTAGTGCCTCCAGCATATCTTAGAACACGTTAAAAGTAAATGCAATACTAATTATTATAGCTATTTTACCTATAACTATTAATAAACTGCTGGTGTGGCGCTGTATGCAAGTTTAAATTTGGAGTTTCAGAGTGGGAGTATTGTTGGTGTTTTCGTCCATGTTTGAAGAAACAAAAACTTAGGTCAAACGAACAAAACAAGGTTTAGCACTACTTATATGTCCAATTTAATGTTTGATTATTTGGTTATGATTTTGTTATAATTTACATGGGCGTTGCCAGGATTTTTTCTTGAGGGGGGCAAAACATATTTTCCCCAAAAAATTCTTGTATTTCTCTCGATTTATCAGTTTTAGAGGGGGGCAGGGACATTTTGCCACCCCCCTCCCCCAACTCATTCAATTTACACCACTATGACTTTGCACCTCTTTTTCTTTTTCTTTCTCTTTTCTTTTCGTTTTTTCTCTTTTTTTTCTCTTTTTTTTTTTTTTTTTTGGCTTTTCCGGGGGGGGGGGGGGGGGGGGCAAGCGCCCCCCTTGCCCCCCCCCCCTCGCGACGCCCATGATAATTTAGTTGTAACGTCATCTACGGGTATTATTTGACCTTTTTCACAAAGTCAACCCAAACCTTAAGATTGAAATGAATTTTTTGCATAGCTTCCGAAAAAGAAAATAACACAACAGCAGCATCGGATGACAGGAGGGTAATCTGAACAAGTACATGTATAACGTCAAGTTTGAATTGCAGTCAAATGTAATCATGCATGCATGATAGATGCACATGCACATGTACAGTACATGTATAGCCTCGTCCTAGACTGTTGCACGGCGCGAACTGTTATATACACTATTGAAAATACTTCTCTATTTATTCCATGTTAAAAAAAAATAGTTCATTATAATATAAATTATTTTTTATTATTTTTCTACTATTTTACACGATAACAATTGATATATATTTATTCTAAAAATGGTAAACTATTCTGTTACCCCGGCGGCCGACGCGACCCGGCCGCGCCGGCCCCCGGCCCCTGGTTGGTTACGCGCGTACGCCGTCGCATCATGGCGCCCGGTACCGAAGCGTACAAAGGCCAGAACTTTTCTTAACTCATGGTTTTTATTTATATAATTTTACCGATACACCAAAAACAGCAAGTTGGCTTCATGCCTCATCTGTCCTGAAGCACACTGCAGGCCTTGGTCGACCATGCCTTCCTTAAATTTTCCTCGATCTGACAGTTTTGTTTTTATTTGCACAAAAACAAGAAACTATAAAAGAAAGACATAAAAAGTGAAACAAAATGTCACTCACGGTATACAAATATTGTGTGTAGCCTTGTTTTCCTTTGTTATCGTGTACTACTACCGGCTTAATGTCATTTTCGTTGCTGGGATTTAAAAAAAAAAAAAAAAAAGACCTACCTACCCTATTTTTTTCTGGCCCGTTACGCCAACATAACTTCTTTTTTTTAGGCCTAATGAATAAGGGTGAGGCATAGAGCTGTATAATAAAGAATTATACAGCTCTATGGGGTGAGGGCATATAAAAGAAATGTACCTGTGGGAGTCCCGATATGATATGACACCGCCGTTGTGTATGGTGTGTCTGTAGAGAGGGGTTTTTCTCTATGACACCGCTATTGCGTGCGGAGGGACTTTCCGTCAATGAGAAATTATTTTGCGTAGAGTGGACGATGGGAAACCATGCTGAAATGGGACGGAATAGTGGCATTTTGGGGGATTAGAGTTCCAGGAAGTGAGTATTTTATTAAGCAAGGATTATATAGATCCATATCAGACAATCTGGCAGCTTCCTTTGATCGTTGTACTAGTAGTGTAAGCTTTGCAGATTCGTGATGTACAAAATGAAGCTTTCTGCGTACATGTACATGTGTTTAATTATGTGTAGTTCTATGTGTTTTTCACACTGCAGAATGTACAGTCACCACTCCATGTACATGAGACATCAATGAACATTTAGGCTTGACTGACCCTGGGGTAAGGTTTTCTTATGTATTTATTATTATTATAATTTTCGTCTGGTGCGTTGCCGTGGAGAGCATTCTCGTTGTCTTGCTTTCCGCGACAACGCACCAGACGAAAATTGAACTCACTTGCGGTGCCTGAAAGCGATGTGGTACCCACATACATCGCGCGCGCAGATTTTTTTTTATGTCATTACGTGATGCATACATTTACATAATTGGCAAAACAAAATGGGAAAAAGACGTTGGAACTGGCGTATTTTTACGGACAAGCCACCGAAATCGTCAAGATTTTTCACTTTTTTTGTGGTCTGTTTCAAGTCGATCATTAGGCTTCGTGAATGACTGCTGAATGTATGAGGTATGTACATGAACTCTGGGGTGGGATATAAGAGGTGAAAATGAACAATTTTTGAGAGGCCATTTTTTTAGGGTCTCTTGCTACCACATTCTAACGAACAGGTTTTGCCTCCAGCGCTACATGTGAATGAATATGGAGCATGTCAGCTGGAGTTACTCAAGCTACTATTTTGAATATAAACAATTACATATTTTTGTGGATCCGCCAGTCACAGTTGCGGTAAATTTCAATTTGAATTTTTATTAAGACTCCATATTTTTTTCTATTTGATTTATTTGACGTGTTGAAATCGTCCCTCTTACAGTTTCTTTGAATGACATGGCAGCACAGAGCGATATAATCACCGAGGCGTGCAATGGGGCACTGGAAGAAATCCAGAAAAAAGCTCCTGCAGAGTACGCCAAACTGAATGCTAATCTTGATAAAAAGGCCAAACTCATTCAAGCTGCTAACACCGCAGCGACCGAATATGTGAAACTGGCCGAGGAGTTTGCTTACAAGCCACACGAGAACATTGCCGAACGACTTGCAAAACACCTGTCCGGAGAGAGAATCAAGCTGATTCAAGGGGGACTAAGCATTCCAACCTTCCGGATGGACATAACCAAGAGTGCTGGAAACTCTTTGGTGCAGTTCACCCGTGGTGGGGAGCAGTTTCTTCCCGCACGAGCACTGGCAACATCTGCTGACATCGACTGGGCGACCATCAAGCAGTATGCCAGTATTATTGTGGAAGCCGTAATGCTTGTTCAGTCAGCTGTGGGAATACCAGTCAGTCCGAGTTCAAAGGTGATGAAGCGCGCTGTTGAGGAAACAGTTGACGCGATCCGAGCATCCTCAAAATTGCAGAAAGCGTTGAAAGTCTTTATCAAAGCCTGGAATGAAAGTGGTAGTGCCTTCTCGAAAGCTAAAGCACTTTTTGTCCTCATCCAAGACATTAACGCCGCAGGCATCCTCTGGACCATCATCCAGATAGTATGCAGCGACATGTCTAATTGGTATGACTGGCTTCTCGCAGCAGCTACAGTTACCGCAATGTTTATAGCTGCTCTCGCTACCGACGGGGCTGCTCTGATAGCTGAGATTGCCCTCATTGTCCTTGACGCTGTGGGCTTCGCAAGGAAGATTGCTAACGTTGTCCAGCTTTCCGAAATTAAACAAAACCTGTAGGAAAGGCACTTTGCTAACGAGGAGCAAACGAACCTACAATCCTTGACATAACTTTTCGTGACACTCGGTTTCCCTATTCATCTCAGCTTATGAAAGATTGTCAAAAACACGTTTCTTAAGACAGGCCTGATGGCTCACATGAATTAAAGAGCATCTGATGAAGAAATTGCGAGCGAGTCAGTTTTCATAAGTTGTCGGTGTCCGAAAGTTGTGTCAATGGTTGTAGTTGGCTGTATACATTAAGTCGCTTTTTTTTTGCTTAACTTCTATAAAATCAAGAAAACAGAGGATTTATGATCTTTAATCGAAAAGGAGAAGACAATGTTAGCTGGAAACAATAAATTGCTCAGTAGCGCCGTAGCCTATGTATGTTTAAATGTATTTTGTTAGTGAAATAAATTTATTCTGAGACTTAAATACAAATTGATGTGTCATGTTACATTTGCCAAAATATTCTGATATTTGCGATGTATAAAAAAGAGGTAGATTTAAAAAAAAAAAAAAAAAGAAAAGCAAGTACAGTTTCACAGTACTTTAGTTTGCTTCGCCCGTCTAACTGTTTAGTTTTTTTTTACTACATACTGAAAATCGCTCAGTGTCTTACATTACATATTTGCTATATATTGAAAATAAGTAGTTTGTTATGCAATAATTTTGTAGATTAAGAGACACTGTAGTTTTAAACATTGGTTTTAAAGAATTTTAACTCGTTTTTTTTCATTTTTGCAAACTTCATGAAATATGAGCTATAGCATAAAACAAATTGCTACGTTTCATTGATAATTGAAACATAAAGCTACAAAATCGATTTCGCTAAATTCATGGGTAGTTTTCCCATTGGGATTGTTTATGCAAAACGACAGTTATAAATGAACTTGTATTGGTTTAAATTGGTGATAATGTGTAGTTGAAAACCTTGCATGTTTAAATTACGTGTTGGTGGAGTTTCCGGCAATTGGTCAAAACTTTGCAACAACATGAACTACAAAAAGCCAACATTGTATTAAACTACTGCGAAGGATTAATTGCTAATGTATGTTTACTTTTATGCATTATGCAATTGGATGTGAAGTTTTGTCGTGACCTATCGAAAAAGGTTTATCTAAGGCCAAATCTTGACAGGACAAGTGAATCAAGGTTCTTTGAAAAACGAAATGTTGAAAATAAATTAGCTTTAAATTAAGACTTTAGTGTAACTTTACATCCCTTAGTTGCTTATGCTTATATCCACATAGCTTTACATTTTAGCAAATATTTCATACTTTTCTCAAAACTATAATGTCATTTTAGACGCAAATCAATATACAAATTGAACTAATGTTTCATTTTCTACCCGTCTTTTCACACGTGTGATTTTACAGCAACTTACCGCTTACTCATTTCTGGCAAAACAAAGTTTGAAAAATGTCATGTTTGAGTATATGTGTTTCTTTCCTTCAAGCTCATAATTTGTTTTCTTTTACTTAAGCGAATTTTATGTTTTTCATCGGAAAAAGGGAAAACACAGGTTGGTTTATTTTAAACATTAGATATTGAATTGTTATCATTTGCATTTGTAAGTACTCAGAAACATAGATCACTGTGATGGACATGTGTACTTTTTCGGTGATTAAGAAAGGGGGACTGAAATATATATATATGTATATCAAGAATCCTTGGATGACTGGAATTGTTTTCCAATGGGAAACATTAAATGACTTGATAATACAAGGTGATTCACAAAAAAAAGCGAAACCCAAACCCAAAGAAATATATTTCATTTAAAAAAAAATGTGTAGAACCAAAACTAATTATGATAAGTCAATTTAATAAACTACTTTGAGATGAAAAATTTCAGAATTTAGGGTCATTTCGTTTAAATGGTGATATAATTGAACGGATTGAGCAATTTCAGTATTTTTTTCATCTAAAAGTAGTTCATTAAATTGACTTACCATTCATAACTATTTTTGGTGCTAAATATTTGTTTGAAATATGAAATATATTTCTTTCGGTTTGGGTTCCGTTTTTTTTTACTCACCCTATATAAATTAAATTTGGATAAATCAATTTATGTTCTGTCAATCGTCAATCGTCAATTACATGCTTTGTATTTAGAAAGAAGGCAATACTTTTGGAAGGTTATACTTTTAGATATACTCATTATATAATGTGCCTTCAGCATATTTTAGAACAGGTTAAAAGTAAATGCAAAACTAATTATTATAGCTATTTTACCTATAACTATTAATAAATTGCTGGTGTGGCGCTGTATGCAAGTTTAAATTTGGAGTTTCAGAGTGGGAGTATTGTTGGTGTTTTCGTCCATGTTTGAAGAAACAAAAACTTAGGTCAGACGAAACAAAACAAGGTTTTAGCACTACTTATAGGTCCAATTTAATGTTTGATTATTTGGTTATGATTTTGTTATAATTTACATGGGCGTCGCCAGGATTTTTTCTAGAGGGGGGCAAAACATATTCCCCCCCCCAAAAAAAAATTCTTGTATTTCTCTCGATTTATCAGTTTTAGAGGGGGGCAGCGACATTTTGCCCCCCCCCCCGAACTCATTAAATTTACACCATTATGACTTCGCGCCTCTTTTTCTTTTTTTTGCTTTTCAAGGGGGGAAAGTGCCCCCCCCCCTTGCCCTCCCCCCTTGCCCCTCCCCCCCCACCCCCCTCGCGACGCCCATGATAATTTAGTTGAAACATCATCTACGGGTATTATTTTACCTTTTCACAAAGTCAACCGAAACCTTCAGACTGAAATTATTTTTTTTGCAAAGCTTCCGAAAAAAGAAAATAACACAACAGCTACATCATTTGATTTATGCGATTGATTTTTTTCTGGCGTTCAACAGCTGCCACTTCATTGGTTTTCACTAGTTCAGTTGATTCACTTTTCACTTGATTCACATCGGTACTTTTCACTTGATTCAGATCATTCACGTAAAAACTGGGAAATAAACATAAAGGGATATAATAAGCACATGTATAAAGTGCATCTACATGTACATGTACATGTAAAGTGGACATGTGGAATACATGTAGTTAACATGTGGGATAATTGGACATGTGGAATACATGTAATTAACATGTGGGATAATTGGACATGTTGCTCCCAAAAACAAGTTATGATATAACCCCAAATAAATCCCAGGTTTATAATAAACAAGAAGAGGATTTATCACACTATAAAACCCATAATTATACCCAGATTTAAATCCATTATTCACCAGGGGCATAAAACATAAATTACTACATGAGGCGCAGTGAACATGTGTTGATGATATATCGCTACACAAACCTATTCATATAAACTGATTTATCGAGCGATTAATGAACCTCAAAAACATTACAAATAACATTATTCAACGACTCAAAATTACCTCACAATAATTCTATGAACTATAGAATATATAGTAATCAAATTACCTCTGTCCCTAGGTCGAGTTTTGGGGGGAGAACTTCAATTGTTTGGAGTCAAAATTCACTAACGATTCACAAAATGTGATCAGACGAAGATATGTACGGCGCGCAGAACAGCGCCACCATGCGGCAAGAATTTACAAGGCGCAACTGCCGTCACAGGGAGATTTTGACACAAATGAGATTTAACACTTGTTTGCAGGAACGTGGATGGTAACACCCCATTTGCATCCATGCCTAGTCAAGAGACTGGTGGCTAAATTCTCCTGAGAAAAAACGAAAGGTTTACTTTTCTGAACACTCTTCCCCCAACCCCTGTCAGTCAACTCCCCAAGTTTTCTTCTATTAGTCAACTTGCCCAAAAGAGGGCACTATCACTTTTTTAATTGGGAGTACAATCAAAATTTAATATAGTTTGGACAAGTATATCTACATGTACATATCTACTAACTTTACTTGGATTTGAAAATTAGAAAATCGATGGAATGTACGATCTCAATACATTAGAAATGCATAGCAGGCTTATTAAGGCGTAATTTACTTTTATGTTTACCCCCAAAGCCTTTGTTATAGCGCCCTCTTGCATTCAAAATTATGGAGCATTTAATTTGATAGTCAATTCCTCTTCCTGCCATTGAGGCAGCATGTTGAAACAAACCCCAGTATCTGACTTTCATAATGTCTACATAATATGTGTGCATGTAGTGTACATACATGTACTTTGTACACATGACAATGGGGTTACACACAAAACGGATGGTAAAAAAAACAGATCACACGTT